TTAAAGATTTATTTATTTATTTATTTATTTATGCAAGCACTGGGTACAGTCAGAAGTGTGGGAGGGTGAGAGAATTCATCAGAGCCAGAGCAGGGAACAGAACAAGCAGACTGACGAAACACACTGCTGAGGTGGGCAGTGGGCACAGCAGGAGAGGTCTGTCGTGCCATGTGGGACTCTCACCAGAGGCCGGGGATTGAACTGGTGCTGCAGAAGCTGCGGGCAGCTTCGCAGCCCAGCGCTCAACCACTGCACCACCAGGGGAGGCCCGTATCCTAATTATTAAGTTAAATTTTTGGTAAAACCTCCAATCAAGTGAAACTTCTGATGAGGCCTTGGAAGAGAAACAAAATGAGAAGGAGTGGTCTGTCCCATATTCATATTCTCATTCTTTTCTGATGCTTATGTCTCCTGCTTTTTTTTTTTTTTTAAAGATTTATTCATTTGTTTATTTATTTATTTATTTATTTATACATGCACTGGGTACAGTCAGAAGCACGGGAGGGTGAGAGAATTCACCAGAGCCAGAGCGGGGAGCAGAGCAGGCAGAAGGACCGAAGTACACTGCTGAAGGGAGCAGCGGGCGGCAGGAGAGGTCTGCGCGCCATGTGGGACCCTCCTCCAGTGGCCGGGGAGCAGCCGGGGATCGAGCAAGCGCTGCAGAGGCTGCGGGCAGCTTCGCAACCCAGCGCTCAACGGCTGCGCTACCGGGGAGGCCCTGTCTCCTGCTTTTGCCATGACCACTGATAAGACAGAGATGTTCTCATTCATTTGCTGAGTGACGTCACTTTTAATTGTAGCATTCTGTATCACTGGCCAACGCATTTATATGACTTTACATGAGAACATACTGTGAGATTTACTGTTAACTAATAACAATGAAAAGACCAATGTCTGGTGACAGAGTCAAAGTCCAGAGCTGGAGACATTAAGCCCTCCTTGAAATAACACTTCTGTACAAGTTGCCTCATACTGATAACAAGTATTAGAGTTTAAATATAACCACACAGCAAAGGCAGAGAGAAACTGGGCAAACACATGGCCATTCTTGAAATTACAGGCATACTGTCAGCTCAGTTTATCCTATTCCACATGGGTAATAGTTAATTCAGCCCACAAAGACTCAGTAGCAATTAATTAATCTAAGCCAGTATGTCCATTCAAGACTACTATCTGCTTCTAATGGTACTTGTGATGACATTTAGAAATAAATATGTTCTCCAGAGTAGAATACTTTGTATACTGGAGGAATCTTCAAGAACCACTTACTTGTGCTTTTCATGAGTTTTTTGATATATTAATTTTTAAATCCTTGACTCTTGCCTATGGAATTTGGGCTGATATTTTAAATTTTGACATGTGCCTTTCTCCGATTCTAGGGAACTTTGTTCTAGATCCTTATCATAATTTAGTTGATGCCATTCATGCCATATTTTATCTTGGATGGTCTAGAAGTATCTACTCTGCTACAACTGAAACATTCCTCACTCTGGAGGCAGACCTTTAACTGTACATGTGTGCCCACCCTACTTCCTAACCGTGTAAAAAAATTTTTTTTTAAGATTATTTATTTATTTACACAAGCATTGGGTACAGTCAGAAGCACAGGAGAGTGAGAGGATTCACCAGAGCCAGAGTGGGGAACAGAACAGGCAGATTGATGAAGTACACTGCTGAGGGGAGCAGTGGGCATGGCAGGAGAGGTCTGCGCACCATGTGGGACCCTCACCGGTGGCCGGGGATCGAACCGGTGCTGCAGAGGCTGCGGGCAGCTTCACAGCCCAGCACTCAACCACTGCACCACCAGGGAGGCCCTGTGTAACAGAATTTTATAGTTATAGGACATATTACTTCTTTATTCCCCATCTCCTTCCTTCCTTCCTTCCTTCTGGTTATATGAAATATTATTCTTTTATCCTGTCACCTCTCTCCCTCCTTTCCTGTTTAGTTATCCATAAATATTTGAATACCTGCTATATATCTGCAAAATTATTAGGATTTGATATAGAGGAATAAGCATGGGAGTTAAAGAACAAACTCAGTTTTACTGAAAGAACTCTGGATACAAATATTATGTGACATTTTCCCACTATTTTCTATTTTTTATAGCAAATAAATGAACATCTGGTAATTTTTTAAAGTTTCAGCAGTTGTATATTTGCAAAGTCCTTTTTCTAATCCTACAGACTTTAGTGACAAGGTCAAATTATAATGCCTATATGTGTAAAAGTTGAACTAGCATCAAAGTTACAACTAAATTGATGAATTTCCCCAAGCACATTGATATGCAAATGCAGAGAGGATAGAGTTCTTTTGGCACCACCAGTGGGAAGTTTCTAAGCAAAAGGCATCATTTATCTTACTGGGGCAGCCAGGACAGTCTCAGAGCACCAACCAAAAATCCCATTGTGTGGAGGAAATGGAGAGGCAAAAGATAACAAAAATAATTTTTATTAGAATTCTCATTGAAAAAAGTACAGGAAGCCAGTAAAAATAAGTATAAGTCAATATTCAGTATTAAAACAGTTGCAGTAAAAATATACAGAAAACAGTAAAAGTGAATACAGGTGAATTGTCAACATTAAAAAACAGTTCAAGCAAGAAAATTAAACTATTGATCCACCCTAGACATTTGAGCCACCTATGAAGAGGAGGTGCAGCTAGGCATTCTGGAAATATCTTTTCTTTCTCAAACGTGCTGTGTTGAGGCTAATATCTGAAGGGAGAGTAGTAGGAAATGGAAAGAAGGAGAGGAAGGGAGAAAAGCTGATATTTTGTGAGCTTTAACATGCTAAATATTTTGTTCCACACTGTATGCATTGCTTCTTTCATCTTTACGACATCTTTGCAAGGTGTATTTCTCCTATTCATTCGAAAGCTAAAAAGATTCACAGACTTCGCAGAATTTAGATGACTTGCCCCAGGTCAAGCAGCTCAAGTGTCAGAGAGACTAGAACCCAACTCCACTCGAAGCCCTCCTTTGCTCTGGCACCTGGTATTTAGCTGTCACGCTGCACTTTAAGTGGGAAACAACTCTTGGTGGACTTAGGAATCTGGGGCAGGGCTGATGCAGCCCATCCAATGGACATTTGGAGCTTGGGAGTAGAGCAATCTGGACCACGTTTCCAAGAGGGCAAGTCTGATGGGATTATTTCTTCTTTGTTTTAGAAGAAAGACCACAAGGAGAAAGAAAGTCTAAGAGGGCTGAATGCCACCTACCAGAAGGGAGGGCTAATAAGAATCCCCCAGAACATGTTCATTCATAGAAAACAGAGGAAAATGCATGATAAACAGAAATGTGCAAATCCAAATGTGCATGTAAATTCATGATTACGAAGATGAATCAACTCTTGTAACCTAGATTCCTTAGCTGTCAAAATCTAAGGATAAAGAAACCCAAAGAAACACCAAGTAGGTAGCACAGCTATACACTAAATTATTTCTCCATCATGTTCACAGCTCCACAGGCTAATGTTTTCTATACTGATGGCCCCTTCTTAGTTGATGATTTTTCACAATGTATTTCATGGCTTCCATCCCTACATGAGACTTTATTACTATCACATAGGAATAAAAAGCCATAAAGCACTAGAGTGAATTTATCTCGGTCGGATGCAAAACTTATTTTCTTCACATGACTTCACAACCATTTCAAAGCTAACCAATCATTTCATGCTACATTAAGAAACATTTTAAACTACACATAAGTGACAGGAAGCACACTTAAATTGTGACATCACAAATTAACAAGATTTTATCCTGCAACGACATTCTTGGCTACGAAGACCAGGAAACAAGAGCAGGAGACACTCAGCAACACTCAACCAGTGAAGTCACCAATAACAAAGGACACTGGGGAAAACTCCTGGAGAAAAGCTCATCACTTTGACATTGGACTTGGAAACACATGAGGAAAGACAGAAGACAGACAGATCATTGATACAAACTGAAACCAGGGGAATTATTTCAAGCCTCTTGCCTCAACTTCTTGCCCAGGAAGCTTTCTTAAATGCCCACTGCCAACTTTTTAGGCATTTCATTTTGGAGCAGGTAGGGAGAGGGACCTTAAGACCTGCTTGCACTGTCACCACTAAGCATTTACACTTAAATATCATTAAAGAAAGGAAAAAGAAGAAGACAACCCTGGAGCAAGCTGAGGGACCATGAGTGTTAACTGCTCATTGACAGACATTCCTGGAGGCTGACACCATCCCCACTCCCCATGCACAGAAGCACTTATCTAACTATGCCAGAAACAGACTGTGCCCTAAATCCCTCAGTGATCTAAGAAACCAATGGTCCAGAGTCCAAGAACATTCTTTATGCTACACTGAAGTGACATTGTTCTTGGAAGTATTAATACACTTAAAAGTGGCCACACTGAAACCTAATTCTACGGGACCACTGAAAACTCCATGTGGTTAAGTTCCCATGGATTTCCTGGCCTTTAAAAAATAAACTTGGAGTGCCTATTGACCAACTCCTGAAACACCATCCCAGACTCTTCAGCCCTGCCCTCTGCTTTAATGGAAAAAAAAATACTGCAGTATTCAAATTGAAATTAAAAACAAAAAAACAAAAACCAAGAACTTTAGTTTCTCATTAGGAGTAAGGTCTATTTCCATCTAGAGGTTACTAAAATGAAGTCTTGGTTTATGCGAATCACAGGGAGGATACTGGAAATAGTTAAATGAAAGGAAGTGCATACATAAATTCAATTATCATGCATGAAACATGCAAATGATTTAAGCACTGCATCTGAAACTCTAGTTTATATTCATTAATCTCAGGTTGCACTTTTGAAGGAGAAAGACATGCTAATTGGGTCCAGATTAATGCACTCCCAAACCTCTCCAATTTGTTTTTAGGTGAGGGTTAAATGATATGTATTAAAATAAACACAGCTGCTCATCTTCCTCCACCTTCCACCTCCCCCACTTCACCTCTACCTCCACCCCAGCTGGCTCACCTCCTCCACCCCACCCACCCCAGCTGGCTCACCTCCTCCACCACACCTCTCCATCCTTTCAGGAAGGAATTAAAGTGCTCTAGCATTTTCCTTTTGAAAACACACTGGAAGAATAAACACGTCCCTTCAGTTTTTCAATATGTGCCTTGCAATATGCGCCATCAAACTTCAAAAGTCAGCTCAACCTCATGGTGAAATCGTGATGTGTTCTAACTATGGCATCCAGGATATGCGCATGGACAAGCAGCTAGTGTTTCACGAGTAGGGGCTCTTTCTACAAATTTGGGCCTGAGTCCTTTAGCCAGTAAGTGCTGAGGGCAGTTTCAAAGTGTCCAGGCATGAGTTTGCCTGACAGCAATGTTTCTGCATGTTGGCATGGGGATCCTGTGACCTATAGATGAGTCACATAGAGAAACCTAGAGAATCAAAAGAAAACTTGGGATTTGTTTTGTTGCTTTTCTTCCTCTGGCGCTCCCTCAATCAGCAGAAAGTGACACAAAGCACAAGCACTCAGAATGTCCTTTGAAAGAATACCTCGCTCTCCTCTCCCCCCTCCCTGGCAAAATTATCCTTAAAGAAGATATTATTTATTTGAGACACTCGTTAGGTGCACAAACTAAGGAGAATGTGATCTTGTGAATCACGAAGCTTCGAAAGAGGTACAATATTCCCTTTTCTTGGTTTTGAGGACCTGATCTTTAGAAAAATGCAAAAAAAAAAAAAGGGACGCTGGCTCTTGGGCTGTCTGGAATAGACTCAGGCACAGAGGTCCTCTCTGAAAGGGCAGCCATCAAGGAGTTAAACCAGGAACCAAGGAAAAAAAAAAAAAGGCCTTCAAACTAATTTCACACTGAAAGTGATGTTTAATTTGAATCATGCTCTCCCCAAAGGGAAAAGGTTAGTCTCATCACCGGGTTATTGCCTCCTCCTGCTTCTCCTTTCATATGAATTGGAAATTCAGATTGACCATTAATCATGATGTGACACGTTCCTTTTTTCCTGGTCCAAAAATCAAATGAAAGCCTTGGACCACATCTGAGAACCCATTGGTTGGTCCAGCCTCCCAACCTACGTGCACGACAGAGAGAAGACAAGAACGAGGGCACATACGTACACAGAGACAGAAATAACCGGACATGCACTCACAGCAGCGATGCACATAAATACATACAGCGCTTAAGAGTCACTGGCTCGGAGAGGCTTTCCGCCTAAATGGAGTTTTGCATATTTGCAAATGTAAAATTAGTCATAGTAAATAACAACAAGGACGAGAGTGATATTAAATCTGTCAACAGCCTGACAAATGCTCGGAGCACTCTTTCCTTACAAAATCCACTGGTGATAGTCATCGCCCCTAAAAGAGAAAATGATTATACGCTAACCAAACCCTAAGTACAAGCTAAAGATATTCACCTCATGAAGTCATTCCTCAACTAGCCCCTTGGCACTTGCTGGAATTATTCGCAGCACGAGCTCCACTTTCTCATTTTCTGCTGACTCCATGTGGGTAATTTCTTTCCATGATTAAAAGTGAGCTTGGCAGATCCTTCAAAGCCTGGTTTTAGGTGTGGTGGGGCTCCGAGTGCAGCCTTTGTCTAAGGCAGGTTGCTAATAATTCATCAGTGGAGGGACAGGCCGGGGCATATTCACACACCTAAAATGATATTTTTAAAGGCAAACTTCATCGATACCTTTATATAAACATATTTTTATGCTGAAACATGCAACTGACAGATGAAATGAACTGTTTACCTTGGAAAAGAATAAGGAGGCTTTTCTCTTTCAAATAATCACTCCAGCCTTTCTGAATGTCATCCCAAAGCGATTCTGCCTCCTTCGACTTATCCAGCATCTGAGGCTTTGAGATAACCCTGGTAGCACTGGCCTCCTTCCCGGCCCTTCATTATTAGCCTCCTGGTGGGTGAGATAGAATACAGTGAATGTAATAACCCTACTTCACACAACAGGCTCGCTCTCTCTTTTAAATTGAAAATCCCCTTATTACAAAACAAGGGGTGTTCTTTTTCTTCTACCTTTAAGTAGGACTGCCACATTCATTGCTTTTTACAAAAACGCAGCTGCTTTTTAAGCTACAGATAAATAGAATCTGCTAGGCGGTAATTCGACTCAGTCTGAATGCATTATTTTCTAAGACACTTTGGCGAGGGGCTTTTTATTATAAACTGGAATGAACAAGGAAAGTCCTTTTCTCTTCTAATTATGAATGTGTTTTGTTCCCTGCTATTAACCTACAATGTCAGATTGATCTTCTTCTTCATTTTCTGCAGCCAGTTCAATAAATCAACATTTTTTTTTTTTCTGGAAAATTAGAGAACTGATGATTAAGTCTTCATGAACTCCAATGACAAAAACAAAAATAGCACGAGGGAGAAGTAAATGCAAATGCTGGAACCATAAATAAAGACAATAAGGTGGGCCTCTGATGTCCAAGACAACGAATCCTGCTTGGGCAGCACTACGAGTTAAGACAGAGGGGCTTTACTTATTAATTTCATTTTAATTAACTTAATTTTTGGAAAATTAAGACTTTCCAGGCATTTTCATAAAGTTGATCTCACTGGATTTATTTATCTAAAAAGGAAGAAGATATAACAAAGCAGTAACATTTCTATATCACGTGACAAACCTCCTGTGCTCGGGGTTTATCTGTTCACTGTGGGTCTGAGTGGTCATTTTATCTGTCATCCTCTCACTTCACAAAGCAATGCAGTGAAGAATTAAAACACAAGAGAAGTCCTGTGATCAAGCATATTCAATTTGAATTTCTGCTGACATCGCTTTAACTCCAAAGACAAACAAGGAGAAAAATGGTGTTCTGTTCAAAAGGCAGTCTAGAAACAACATTAGCCCAGGTGTTGGTTTAATTCTGATCCCAATGTTGATATTTCTGACTATAATATTACAATAGACCACGGTGGTTATGCTCCACGTCTTATGGATATATTGCTTGGCCGAGGAGAGGAAATCCCACAGGGTATCAGCGGGGTTCCAATTAAGGAAAAATAAATACTGCTGCAGCCCTGACAGTAAGTGGAGATTGCCAGCACATCACAGACGCACAGGCAGGTGCCCACGATGAGATCTACAGATTTAAAGCCGAGGCTGTCATTTCTCTGCCTTCAGCAGTATTGGAAAGCAGGTTGCTGAGGATGAACTGTGTGTGGCAGTTTCAGAACAATTGATTCTTGTTTGTTTATATTGTTTTGAATTTGTTTCCAATAAGGGCAATCGTGGAAATCGAATGGGTTTTGTGCAAAACCTAAAGACTTTCCTGGGAGATGCTGCAGTGGAATCACACACAGATTCAAGAGACCCTCGGACTTAAGGAATGTAAGAAAGCGAGAGGGAGACCTGGAAATCTTCTTACCTTCTAGCCATGCTGACTTTCCAGTGTAGTTACATTGGAAATTTTTAAAAGGTGGATATTTATTGCCAGTGAGCTGCAGACCAAATTTTTAGAACACCCATTCTAGGAAGAGCTATGCTTACAGCGCACTGTGGTGACAGAGCTTTGGGAGTCTACTACTCTGCTTAGATTTGAATCAATTTTCTGTCTTCTGATATGCCTGGGAACAAATGAGGCCCCGTCAGGTTGCTGGCCTTGACCTCAGAGACTAAGTGATGCTGTGGCAAAGCAAGAAGACCTGTTTCCCTGGAATAAATAACCAAGTCCTTCCCTGAGAAACAAATTGAAGTGTATTAGGCATCTCTATAAGAGTGAAATTGAATCCTTATGCATCGATATCCCCATTGAGCTCAGGCCAACCATAACAAGCCTGTTTTGGCAACTGAGAATTTTTAGTTTTGTAATACTGACATGCGAAGGCAAACAGAAGAAGTAAAAAGATCTTAGGTGTATATTTGAAGTCACTTAATTTCCTAGATAGCCTGATTTAGAAACACTCTATAGAATAGGTGTTACTGGGTTATCTGCAAAGATACCTCTGAACATCTACTTGCCTGGATCCATCCATTCCTCCCCTCTGGTAAACTGTTAACACAGACAGCAGACAGAGCAGGCAGGGTTGAATGTGAGCTTGAGAGGACAGCATATAATTGTCACCTTCTTTCACCTGTTTTATTATTTAGGGTAGTAAAAATGACTTTAGGTGAAGATAATCTGAGCCACCTGCCAGAATTTTTGGCCTTTTTAAAACTACAAAGACAATGAAATAAGGAGCTATACTGAAAACAACTCTGTAATGATGGGTGAGAAGAGTGGCTGCTTGTTTCAGAAAACATGGTGGCCCAGCACTGTCACAACTGGACATTTCATTCTCCCTTTGAGAAATGAAAAGAAGGAGAAGCAAAGGAAGAAAGGAAGAGCAATGATGGAGGAGAAATAAGAGGAAGAAATATCAAAAATCCACCGAATACAACAAATGTACTATTACTTCCTTTTCATATAAAAATAATTCTCTTCACAAAATGTCCTGCCACAAACAAGCGCCTTCATTTTTAGCTTCTTGAGCGCCACTGTAAATTGAGGATATCATGCCTATCTTAATGGGGTCCTGTGCAGATTAAGTGAGGTTACATGAATTATCTAGGACACATACACCTGGTGAATAGCAGTTACCCAATATGGAGCAACTATTAGCAGTCACCGCACTGCTAATTCAGCAGCTCATTCCTCTTGTGCCTCTGTACCTGGAAGTTGCTCTCTACCAGCCCCCAGACTCTAAGAACACCCACAAACAAAATAACTCATTACAAATGGACTCTGGCTGTGCCTCATTCCTTTCTTTCACCAAACTCTACCTCCAGATCCTAAAGGGCAAGAAAGGTGGAACATCTTAGACATGGAAGAGACATGAAGTACGTCATAACCAGAGCCCATTGGCTAAGTAAGACTCTGTTCTGAAAGAGCTGATAGGTAGAGCCAAGTTTCTGACTCGCCCATCCCCAGGGAGAAATTAGAATGCATTGGATTTGGGGGTTGTTGCCCAGATTTAAGTTAATCCGTCCACCTCTACCTGGGTGCATGCATATGTGCAGGCATATACACACCTTGAAAGTTTTCACGCTTCCCAGCTAGTGATACAACACTACTATGCATTGTGCGTTCTGAGCAAAGTTGATTTTGCAAAATTGCCAAAATGCTTCTCTATCTAAGAAAATACCAGCTAACCATGCCCAAGTCATAAGGGGGCAAACCTGGAGTACGGTTCTACTATGAAGAAGGAATGAACTTCTGATGAAAACAGCAACATCAAAATAACCTTCATATTCTTAAACATCCTTTGTGTATTTCCTTTAACTTTGACCAACGCCATTATTTTTTGTTTATTAAAATGGAAAACACAAGCTATATTCTGAAGACAAACTTTGGCAAAAGTACACTGAGTTTAAGGAAAAAAAAAGAATAAAAAATTCTGTTAATGCTCCCGTCCCCCTGAATATAGTTGATTGAAATGATCTCATTTGTAGAGTCAAATATCAAGATGATCAAACTTGATAATTATCATACAAGCAAATACAAATTCTCAGAAGGGCAAAACTTCAAACAGATTTCCTCCTCCTGGTGACTCCACAAAGAGACGCCAAGCTCCACTGACCAGGGGAACGCCCAGCTGAGTTTCTGATCACCTCTGCAGAAGGCGGCACAAAGCCGAGACTGAAAAACTGAGAATGTGCAGAATTCAGGGAGTCTTACACATGAGGCAACATTGATATCTCCCCAGAACCACATTTAGCATGGATGTGCTCAAATATGAAAAGTAAGACAAGCTTTTTAACTCCCTGTCAAGGCTTCCTGACATCAAACACTTTCTCGAGGTCAAGAAATGTGTTCCCAGCTTCTGTTTTCTGTTCTCCTTCAGGGAACACGGTGCAGGCTGGGGCCGCCCAGCTGCCTTTTGGCACGTCACACTTGGATGACTTCCTCCCTGTGTGTGTATGTGTGTGTATGTGGAGGGGGGTGTCCACTGCATTTGGACTCACAGAAGAAAAATCAAAATCCATTTAACACAAAGGAAATTCACATATTTTTTTGCCTCTTTAATATTCTACAGCGAGCCGATGGCAGAGTTAAGTTGAAAAAGTTTTCTATAATGAGGATTACTGAGGCATAAATCACATAGGTAAAAACTGAGATGTAAGACAGAGATGAAATCTAAAAGCTAATTAAATTCAACAAGGGTTTCTCAAAAGACAACATACCCACTAACCTCCCCGTGCTAAGATTTTATTTTTGAAATGGCAATAAATGGAGAGTTGTCACGGTTGTAGATTCCACAGTGTGATCCTTTAGCAAAACCTGAGAAGGTGAAAAGAGATTAGATGCATGGATTTCTGTGCTGAATGGATGCCAGCACCAAGATGCAAAGAATAGATAAGTTAGAGATTCGGAGGAACTAAATTTGAAGTCAGCCAGTAAAATGGATTGAACCTTATTACCTCTAGTCACTGAGAAATTCCCGAGACAGTTGGATGCAATTTGAAAAGGTCAGAAAAATATTTCCTGCACAGCATTACTGCTTCATGGTTTAAGGGTGTACATTTGTGAGATGCCAGCTCTAATCATTTTTATTGACTTTGCTTTCTAGAGACAGACAGACAGTCTGGGAGGCAAGACCAATAGATAAGAGAAAGGCAATCTTATAAATGAAAATCTCTCTTATTTTGTTCTCTAACTTGTGACTGTGAATAATCCCAAATCTTGGCCATGTGAGAACAATTTACACCAACTTCACAGAAGAATGACAGATGGAAATGAATCTAAGAAAGTACTGCTATAATTCTAGTAAGACTATTTTCTTCTAATTGCTATTTGTTTAACTTCTGCTGTGAGCAATGCATTGTGAAATGTAAGCGATGCTGCACTTGAATCCAAGGGTGACTATTTAAAATGAAACACCATAAAATACACTGGGGTCTGGATGTTAATATATTGTCAGCATTTCCTTTAGGGGCAGCTTCATGAAAAAAGGGAAATCCATAGCAGAAGATGAAAATTAAATGAAACATAGAAATTAAATGAAACATAGAAATATACACTCAAGATAACTGTTTTAATAAAGGCGCCACTGTGGTTAAAGCCATTCCAAACACAAAGGAAGGGGATTTCTCTTTTTACTTTAAGTGAGTTTTGTGCACAATAAGAACCTTTGTTGGAAAATGCATTTTGTGACTATTTTTTTAAAAAAAAATTTGGCACGCGATTAAAAGTCAAAGCTGACTTTTCCATACAGAATGGCATGATCCAGTCTAACCCTGCAAAGGTTTAATTAACATCTGACTTTTCAGTGAGGAGCCATGTGCTCTGGAGGCAAACACAAGACTATTTACTCTTCTCTTGTTTAGCAGCAAGGCTGAAACTTTTTAATGACCTCGAGCCTGCATGCTTTCCTATGGTGCTCTTGGCTCCATGAAAATTGCTGGCAGTTGACACAGACTTTCAACCAGCGAGATGACTTTTCCCATAGAACCCCTTCATTCTGATCCATACCACATCTCATGAGATCCTGGAGGTGGACCCTTGTAATTAACAAAAAAAGGCCATCGTGGCCCGCCACACAAGGAGACAATCACCAAGTGGCTTTTCTTTTCTTTTTAAAAATTTTTAAAATTTTATATATTTTTTACATCATTTTTCATTTTTCACAATGTATGCATTTTCATCTTGGTTATAGCCCCCATTCAATTCCTACCCCCCCTTGTTTTGATCCTACTCCCTTTTCTCCCCGCCCCCCACCATAGTATGTCTCTGGTTTATAGTTGCTTGTTGATTTTGATTTTTACTTTACTATAATTAGTTTTTTTCCTGGTCCCTTATTTAGGTTTTCTAAATTCCTGCTTTGAGTGAAACCAAAAGAAAAATGAAAAGCCAGCTCATTATCTAGAAAGCAAAATTCTTGGCAGTGGGGGTAAAAATATCTAAGTTGAAGTTGACCTTTATTTTCCTTTCTTGAATATTTGGCATTACTTACATACAACAAAATACTTTGGTGATTTTTTTCTTTAAAGTGTTCTTGTGTCACGTCTTTGGTTTAATAACAAAAAAATCGTTTACTGAAACTTTGTGATGTATAGTCTCCAGTGAATCACAGTTAAAACTCAAGCTTTTCCACATCTTCACTTCATAGGCATTTTACAAGCAGAAAGACTACCTAAGACACATCTCTAAATTTCTCCATAAGGAAAACATTTGAAGCATTCACACAACCATTAATGATAATAACAATCTTGTAAGAACTGTTACTAGTGAAGATAAAAAGGACAATGGAAGTAGCGGCCACCAATTGGGTATTTATTAGGTGTGGGGCCTAGTGAACATAGCATCTCAATTAATCTTCACAACCAACTTAAATAACATAGACGTGATATTACCTCTCATATTACCCTGGGGGAGAATGAGGCTTAGGGAGCCAAGGAACTTGTTTCATTCAGAAAACTAGTAGGTACTGATGTGAAACTCAAATCCAGGCTAACCTGACTCTAGTCCCTATTATTACAAAGCTGTGCATTTAATTAAGCACACTCCATGGGCATGATGAGACCCAGGAGGGCCACTCCTCCCCGATCACACAGCATTTCTGGAGCTCTGCTGAACCAAATTTCATGCCCCCTGAACATTTGCTGAAAGCCCGCAAACTGCAGTCACCTTCTAGAACTATGGGCTGAGAATTGTTGACAGACATTATTGCTGTCCTCGTGGAATTTAGTGCATGAAGAGAATGATACACTCACAGCGGCCTTCTTAATCGGATTGCATGGTTCACCTACACCTAATAAATATTGGAGTCTAATTGCACACAAATTGCTTTTCTATTTGAATTATCTTTGAATCACGATCAGAACAGAGCAACAAGAGAAAGTTTCTTAACTGGGGCTGCATTGAGATCTAATGTGTTCGTTCAATGAATCCCTCCCCAAACACAACTTCCAAAGGGAAAATGGATGGCTATTCTGTTATCATCAGAGCAAGTAGGTATGAACGGAAAGAAAATAAGATGGGTCACAAAGGTCTAGCACATAAATTATTGCAGGGTTTTTTTTTTTTTATTTCAAAAGAATCTACCAAACATAACCAGGCTTTGACAAAATGATTAGTTTATCTGTAATGGATAATCATTTCTTTCCTAGCCAATTTACCAAATGTATACCCAGCCAGGAGCCTTCCTACTTGTATAGAGGTTAGGATGGTAAAGGATGCAAAGCTGGTTGGCCTTCCCAGTACACACTCTCCAGGTGCCTGTCTCTGGTGAGCTCACTCTGAGCCTTGTCTGTCTAGGCTACTTCATTTGTGAGGCCCCCTTTCAGAAGAGACCTTTCTCCCAAGCCTGAAAGGGAGCACTCCTGCTGAAAAGTTGTCGTGGAGTTCAAGAGGAATTCAAATGCGCCAAAAGGAGTCATAGCAGAATTGCTGGACTGCCCTTCTCACAGAATGAAGTCACTATGGAAGTCTAAACGTGAAAGCATGTTAAAAAATAAAAATAAAATGTGATACTGCTCTTGAGAGGTGGAGAGGGGAGTAAAAAAAAGAGGAGGCAGGCACACAAAAGGAACTCATCCTGGAGGATGAGTCCAGAAAACTTCTTATTTCTTGCTTTTCTTAAGCACGGAGCAGGGAGAGAAGAATACAGAGGACTGTGAAGTGAGGGCCTTCACTGTACCCCTAAAGGTCTTGGGAATGAAAGGAGTCAATCCCTAACCAAAGGAGAAGTGTAAAATATCCTCCCCCAAATACCCTCTAGTTTAATATCTCATGCAAAGAAATCAGCATTTAAACCTTGGTTATCTTCCAAAGAAGCTGCCTGAAAAGATATTTTTAAGACAGGTTAATTGGTTAATTTCTATGGTTTTTAAAAAACTGCAACCTACTCTCAAAACTAATTACAATTTCATTAAAAACTCTGTAATAAGAAACCTTGATGAAACATCAAGCTAGCTTATTATATGAAATTCTTCTTTTACCTGATTCTTTCTGTAAGCACAAACTCAGCTTCAGGCATTAGTATCATTAGAATTAACTTTCTAGAAATGATGTTAAGGAGGAATGATGACATACAATTAAAATACAGTATTTATAGCAATTGGAGTAGTTAACACATCTCTGGTGCTGTAGAGGGTGAAAACAACCTTTTCTTTCTCCTTCCTGGATCAAATGCAGGCATTTAGCAATTTCTAAAAATGCATTATTAGAATTTTATTTTAATTATTCTTCCAACATTTCAATGTCACAATGCTAAATGCTTTGTGTACCTGGCCATCCTTCTCAAGAGGATTTTGATAGCATGACAACCCAAATGTTGTTATCTCAGTCCATTTTCTTTGAATTACAGGAATCTCCAGAGCATATTCTTTTCTACATTGGGAGATAGCAAGACTTAAATTTTTCTGAATAATTTTCAAAATCAAATTTGAAAGTTTTCATGAGAGATGATCCTCCCTGGTGGGTGATATGAAGCATAACCTAAGGGGGAAACATGAAAATAATTAGCATAAAACACATTAGCATATAGATGCCTTTGAAATAATAAACAGCAGAAAACCAAAATGCCTATCCCCAAAAGAAAGTTATGAGAAAATATGAAGTTAATGTACACTCCTTGCATGACAACCCCAGCCTGAAACCTACAGAATATTCTTATTCAGTGAAGAGTGGAATACCCATGGAAATGGAGAAATAGGCCCCAAAACAACTCTCCTTTGCTCACTGTCACCCCACTAATAGTCTTTCCTTTGCTTATGCCACCCTTTTCTCTCTTAAACACTAACAAAAAATTAGAAATATCTTCCTTTTACTTCCACTAAGAGCCACCACCAAGTACACAGATGTAATATTCTTTTTTCCTTATTTTTTCTCCCTGCTTTAGCTACTTTTCTATCTTTCCCTTGATGGCATAAAAAGTGCTGAACTTAGTAGGTAACTCAGTTACTGACAGGCTGAGTTTTCAGCCTCAGTTGAAAAGTGAGATATGGTTTAATGTTTATTAACAACAAATCACGAACACCATTGATTCTTTTTTTAGAAGATTTATTTATTTATGCATACAAGAGCTGGGGTACAGGCCAGAGATGTGGGAAGGGGGTGAGAGGATTCACCAGAGACAGAGTGGGGAGCAGAACAGGCAGACTGACTGAAATACACTGTGAGGGGAGCAGCGGGTAAGACAGGAGAGGTCTGCTGCACCATGTGGGTCACCTCCCTGGCTGGAGATCGAACTCGTGCTGCAGTGGCTGTGGATAGCTTCATATTGCTGTGTCGTAACACCCTGAGCCACCAGACAGTCCCCCACTATTGATTCTTTTTATATCTCAAAGTGGTACAGCCTCTCAAGTAGGAAAATAGTATATTATAGTGTGACAGGAAGAATACAGTCTTTGGAGGTTGACCATTTAAAAATCTGATCAGGGCAAGCTTGGCAAAGTTCAGAAAACATAATTCCTCTTTCCCCTTTTACAAAAGTGATAGTGTTGTCAACTTTCTGGGGGTTTGTGACAATTAAAGGTTATGTAGGTAAACTACCTGGAATATTGTAGGTGCTCAATAAAGGTACCTCAATTCACCTTTCTCAATGGCTTAATGAAAATCCACAAATTGGGGATTCTGGAATTTTGTTTTCCCACTGCAACTTTACATGCATTGGATACATGTATGATCTAAAGACATATGTTAAGGAGAGATGCCACAAAACAGGTGTGTTTTGCTCTGGATCCAAGGTGGATGGGGTGATGAAGGTGATAGTAAAAAGTGAACTGGAAATAATAAGGCAAAGAATACAAAGACGCTACAGAAATATTTTATCTCATGAAATCAAGATCAGGTCTTTCAACTTAACTTTACAACAACTGATAGAGTCTCATAAATATTTTATGAGGCTCAAAGGAAGTAAAGGTGTACTTAGCACATCTTAAATCATCTGACAATTCCCTGTACTATCAGGTGAATTCCCTGAATATGCGCCATTTTGGATCATCAAAACCCAGTCATATCTGGGCAGTCATGTCCCCAAATTTCAACCCATCTAAGTTATTTCAGTCTTTTTCCTATTTAGTATTTGTACTGATTGTCAGCACACTGTTGGGAACACTGAGCGAGTCCTTTGCCAATAATACCATTTGATTATTTCAATTTGTTTTCAACTTCGAACTTTGAATTGACTCTAATTACTTAACTAGCATAGTGTTTTGGTCTCCTGGCATAGAAAAGGGGAAAGGAAACATTCATTACAAAATACTGAATTTTACAGATGTCAAAATTAAACTTGGTTTATGTCACTTTATTCTTTCTGTGGAGCAAAGGCCTGGAACCTAGCCTTTATTACCTAATACCTGCTTTTACATCAACAGTTATATTTCCAGGAAAAGATAACCTTCAATTTTTTGAACATGGAGTAATGGTCCTATGCTCTTCTTTGCTGTTTAAACTCATTCCATAGACCTTATATTCTGAGCCAGGCATTATCTGATGCCTTTTAATCCATACCTTTTTTTTTTTAATCTACTGGTACCTAATGAGACTGAGGTTTTTGCCCACTATAGCCAAGTTAAGAAAGAAAATGTTTGGAAAGACGCACCCCAGGAGAGAAATAAAAAATTAGCGTCTTTTTAGCTTTAAGGATTTGAAAGCATTTTGATTGACTTTATGCCCTCTGAGAATGGGTCCTCTGGACTATTACACAAATCAATAAGTACATAAGATGCTTCTCCAGTTATACAGAAATTCTCTTTTTTGCAGTCCAAAAAGAATAGGAATCTCTATTGATTTTTCACCTTATGGATAGGTCAGCTTCTTACAGGGCCTCGTTTTAATGCTCTTGATGTACAGATGTATTTGTTCTACAGCCTTTTTAAAAACTTTAAAACCATTGGAGGTGAATAGCAGGGAATGTTCAGGCCTGTCTTTTCTCTGTTTTTTTCAATGTCCCCAAATCATTCTTCCCAAAGTTCCCACTTTCAAACATTAACATCTGCTAGAGCTTGATAGAACAAAAATAAAACTTTCACATCAACTTTATTTGTTGTTTTAAAAATTCAGTTAGCAGACTTTTCTTCATCTGCTTTATGTATGATCAACCACAATAGTCAAAGTCATAAAAGTTTACTATGACAAAAATATTTCCTTGATAAAACATAATGTGAAAAATCCCTCATCACCAAAAATAATTAGTATTTTCCAAATATTCTCAATGATTGGAAAAGTAAGTCAATAAAATAGCATTATTCATTCAGATATAAACCCTTCAAGGATAAAGACTGAGACATATGATGGAAAAGTAAAAGTAGTTGATAATAATGACTGAGGCACATTGCCTTCAGTTCTAATTATATTATTAGCTTCTAGTGTTCCCCTTCATCCAGTGCCTGCAATGACTAAGCACCAAGCATTGCACCCACAGATAAGTCAGTCCTTCCTGTTATCTGGAAAGTTCAACACCTGGTAAACTATTGCTTAAATAAGATAATGGCACATTTCCATTACTCATCCTACCCAATGAAAAATAATTTGTAAAAGTCATGCTCCAATCATCTCTTCTCCTGCTCCAAAGTAATTAAACATATTTATGTTGAGTCATAGGTAACATTGCTGTGTTTCTATGAGCACAACTTGTTCATCCCCAGGATTTTCCTGCATCAAACTCTAACTAAACTAATAAACTAACCATAAACTAATCAACCAAGATGACATTCTGCAGATAAAGAAACTGTGGGATAGCTAAACAACGAAGTATTACTCTGTGCTAAAAAGACATGAGTTATAAAGTCATGAGAAAACATGGAGGAAACAAATGCATATTATTAAGAGAGAAATAAAGCTGAAAAAGATGTATTGCTTGATGTCAACTCTATCACATGCTGGAAAAGGCAAAATATGGACACAGAAAAAAAGATTAATGGTTGCTATGGGAGGGCTTGGTAGGGAGAGATGAACAGTCTGAACACACAATTTTTTCAGACAGTAAAAACACTCCATGTATCATGATGCATATGTCATTATACATCTGTCCAAACCCATATACTATACCACACCAAGAATAAACCTTCAGGTTAACTAAGGACTTTGTATGATAATTATATGTCAATATGCTCATCCTTGGTAAAAAAAAATATGTATCATTCTGTTGAGTGATATTGATAATGGAAGAGGCTATGCAGTGTGAAGGTGGGGTATATGGGATATTCTACACCTTCCTCTCAATTTTGTTGTAAAGTTAAAATTACTTTTTAGAAAGTCTTAAAAATACCATGACCTGCCGTATTTCTGACCTTGCAATATTACAATCCTGATGAAGATGCAAATATCCCTATCACTATATTCCGATCACCTGCTTGACTTTCTGCCTGTTAGAAAGATGGGACATGGGCCTCTGGTGGCACAGGGGTTAAAGTCTCAGTGCTATCAAGTTATTGGCAGCCACTGTGGCATGAATTTGATCCCCGGCCAGGGAGCTAACCCACATGGCAAAGCATATCTCTCCTGTCTCGCCTGCTGCTCCCCACAGCAGTGTATTTCAGTAGGTCTGTCTGTTCTGCTTCCCACTCTGTCTCTGGAGAATCCTCTTACTCCCCACACCTCTGGCCTATACCCCAGTTCTCATATACATAAATAAATAGAAATAAATCATTAAAGGGGAAAAAAAAAAGATGGGACTCCTGTCAACATTGGGAAACTATTCCAAAGTTACTTGCTGGAGGTGGTAAGGGAAGAGACACAGGAATGACTGCCTATCTTCATTCAATAAGGTCAGGTTCAATAATTGGCCAGTTTAAAAAAAACGTTATTTCCAAAATCTGTTTTCTCAAAGCGGACTATGCCTGTAAGTGTTATTAAAAATTATGTGCAGTACTAGTAATTGCTTACATCTCCCATTTATCACTGTGATGTACAATCTGAGAATCGGTCTCTGAATCTTAGATCTATCCAACAATAGGAACTTGATGTTTCCTCTGTTCTTATTATGTCAACACAGGATGAGTGGAAAAAAGAAAGTATAACGGGTGGTGCCTTATAAACTATCAAGTACTCTGTAAGTATCGTTAATGTTCTTTGGAGATACAGTTATTATGGAGATGGTGATGATTGTTAGATGAGGACTAGTTCACATCATACTATATAAAAGGAAAGATAAGATGAAGCAGACTACAGAAAGTATGATGATAAAGTTTAAGAGAGTAATTTAATATAAACATATTTTGTCCATTTGCCCTGAATGGGAACAATCATGCCTCATCCAAAAGGTTTTACGTAAAATGGATTTCTCCAGTTCTCTAAAAGTATTTGAATATGTTTACAAGTAATAGATGCCTCATAATAAATGCCACGTATTGGGGTTTGTAACTGAGAACTTAGGGAAGGAATTGATACCCTACCATATTAGGTAGCATCAGAATTGTATAACATAGAAATTCATATTGGAGGAATCAATAGGATTATATAAACCCAAAATACAACTATTTCATTTTTGAATG